TCAAAACTTTTCCAGTCCTGACCAATTATTACCTCTGTAATCTTTTGTCCTACGCGCAAGGTATGGAGGGGTCATAAATGATAGAAAACAATAAAGTTCAAGAAAATGAAGGATTGATATCAGAACTTCAAAACATGGGAAGGCCAACCATGGACTGGCAACTGGAAAATCACCTGAATCAGTTCGATCAGCCGGCGATGGCTGTACGTTGGTATGCGTGGAGGAGCAACACCTGGTGATAGGCTCTGATCCACCAGGATGCTGGAAAAATGACGGCCGGGGGGCGTTGAACCCGGATACTCTCAGGTAAAAAACCCTTTGACCACTCTTCAGGTCATGTTCTATCTAGGCGAATATTGTGCAACATAACAGCACCTTTAAGGCAGGTGAAATTGACTGACTAGAAAAGTAAGACACTCACGAGCGCATAACGGATATAAACACCTCAATACGATGCTTGAGGTTCCTAAACCTTTGTATTCCCTGGAAGCAGCGGGAAGATAATGATTAATCACCTGGAAAAATCCTAGAGGGAATGTACAACTTGGACCGAAGAACAGCCGACTCGAAAGCAAAGACTTGGAACGATGCAACATCCCCCCAATGAAAAGCATGAGTAATCAGTAAATAAGTCACAAACAATCAGAAACTGCAGAAGGACTCTGTCCCATGCAAGGCAGGCCAATCATCCTACAGGGAGCAGAGCACCAACTATGTAGTAGCCCACAGTCAGGTGGCAGGCTTCAAACACCTTTTATTGTACAGCAATAAGGAATGGAACAGACTACCCGCCACATGTCAAGCCAGTCATAGCGTGATCCAGTTCAGAAAAGTTGCAAAAAGGTGTCTGATGAATGTAGCTACAGAAAGGGAGGGGAATGATTTTCTATTTTTTAGCTACATACGTGTAAATTTTACCTTATTCCTTGTTAATGACCCTCGTATTGTAGATAGTCTTAATGACTTGGTGTAGCAGATAGTCTTTTTGTATGATAATAAGATGTTATCTTCATTGTAGAATAATAAGAAAATATTATAACCTTTATACTATAATAATAAGGTAAAAGGACCCCAATGGAAATAAGTCACTCTGTCTGACTTTTTTGGGTTATCCTAGGTTCTCTACACATATGCTGCTATGTATGATAATTCTATGTAACTGTATTTGTGTATACCTGAATAAACTTACTTACTTACTTACTTACTTAAAACTAGGGAGGCCAAGCCCATGGACTGGCACTGGACAAACACCTGAAGTCAGTTCCTGATCAGCCGGGCTGTGGCTCGTACGTTGGTTTGCGTGCAGCCAGCAGCAACAGCCTGGTTGATCAGGCTCTGATCCACCAGGAGGCCTGGTCACAGACCGGGCCGCGGGGGCGTTGACCCCCGGAACTCTCTCCAGGTAAACTCCAGGTAATGACACTCTTCAGGTCACTTGTTCTATCTAGGCTGGAATATTGCTGCACACTAACAGCACCTTTCAAGGCAGGTGAAATTGCTGACCTAGAAAATGTACAGAGAACCTTCACGCGCGCATAACGGAGATAAAACACCTCAATTACTGGGAGTGCTTGAGGTTCCTAAAACTGTATTCCCTGGAACGCAGGCGGGAGAGATACATGATTATATACACCTGGAAAATCCTAGAGGGACTAGTACCGAACTTGCACACGAAAATCACTCACTACGAAAGCAAAAGACTTGGCAGACGATGCAACATCCCCCCAATGAAAAGCAGGGGTGTCACTAGCACGTAAGAACATAAGAATCAGAGGAACCACTGCAGAAGGACCAACTGGCCCAAATGCAAGGCAGGCCAAGTCTCCTACACCGTGCTCTATGGCCATGCACCACAACTAGTGGGTCAGGCTTGATTAAGGAGGGGAACAACGGCACCGACCGGAAACCTCAGGTAAACTATCAGTCAGGTCTACTCAACCCTCCCACATTTTTTTCTTTTTTATTTATCAAACCTTTTTTAAAGCTACACAGTTACTTCTGCTGGTGTTCGTCAGACCTTCTATCGGTTTCGGCATTTTGTTCCATTTCTCCACAACTTTTACCATGTCAGTACTTATTTACCTTCTGTCTGAATTTTCCAATCTTAAAACCATTGCTGCGAATTCCTGTCTAGGCTAGATTTTTCAGCACACTATTTAAATCCCCTTTATTTATTCCTGTCTTCCATTTATACACCTCAATCATATCCCCCCTAATTCTACGTCTTTCTAGAGAGTGCAGTTTCAGGGCCCTTAGTCTATCCTCATAGGGAAGGTTTCTGATACATGGGATCAACTTTGTCATCCTCCTTTGTACATTTTCCAGAGAATTTATATCCATTCTGTAATACGGTGACCAAAACTGTGCAGCATAATCTAAATGAGGCCTAACCAAGGATGTATAGAGTTGAAGAACAACCTGAGGACTCCTATTATTTATGCTTCTTGATATGAAGCCAAGGATTCTATTAGCTTTATACAAGGATTCTATTAGCTTTATCCAAGGATTCTATTAGCTTTATCCAAGGATTCTATTAGCCTTATAAGCACGTTAAGAGACCATACAATAAGTGTCAGGAGCCCGAGACTGTTCAACTGCCTCCCAGCATACATAAGGGGGATTACCAACTGGCAGTCTTCAAGCTGACACTGGACAAGCACCTCAAGTCAGTTCCTGATCAGCCGGGCTGTGGCTCGTACGTTGGTTTGCCTGCAGCCAGCAGCAACAGCCTGGTTGATCAGGCTCTGATCCACCAGGAGGCCTGGTCACAGACCGGGCCGCGGGGGCGTTGACCCCCGGAACTCTCTCCAGGTAAACTCCAGGTACAGTTCAAAAAATGTGAATCTACTCATCCCTCTCCTGTCTTACATTTTTTTTTTTTACCTTATCGTAGAACTCCTGTTGGTTTACGACACAGAATTTACCCTCTCTAAAGCTGTGCTGGTTGTCGTCCATGAACCCACCTCTGTCTAGGTGTTCCGCCATTCTTCTGATAATCTTCTCCATAACTTTACATCATGTCAGTGACACTGTAGTTTAACACTGTCTGTCTGTCTCCTTTCTTAAAAATTGGGACTACATTTGCTGTCTTCCACACCGGCAATTGCTCTGTTTCGTTAGACTTGTTGAAGAGTTTTGCTAGAGGCACACAAAATACCCCTGTTCCCTCTCTTAGGACCCACAGAGAGATATTGTTTGGTCTCACTGCCTTCGAGGTATCTAGCTCACATAGTAGCTTCTTCACCTACTCCCCAGTTGTATGTACTGTGTCCAACGCTCGCTGATGCGCTGATGCGCTGGTGGCCCGGTGGCCTGGTGGCTAAAGCTCCTGCTTCACATACGGAGGGCCCGGGTTCGATTCCCGGCGGGTGGAAACATTTCGACACGTTTCCTTACACCTGTTGTCCTGTTCACCTAGCAGCAAATAGGTGCCTGGATGTTAGTCGACTGGTGTGGGTCGCATCCTGGGGGACAAGATTAAGGACCCCAATGGAAATAAGTTAGACAGTCCTCGATGACGCACTGACTTTCTTGGGTTATCCTGGGTGGCTAATCCTCCGGGGTTAAAAATCCGAACGAAATCTTATCTTATCTTACCACTTAGCTTTGCTGGTAGCCTTCAAGTCTCCTCTGAGTCAGAATTATATGTTTATTATGCACCCCATACCCATCCTGTGGGCGGTAGTCAAAAATTACAGAGGTACATAATTGGTCCAGGGACCTCCCTAAATCTCTTGCTGAGTTCCTCACAGACTTCCTGGTCATTCCTTGTAAGCTAACCTCTTTCCTTCTTGAGCCTGATTACCTGGTCTTTTACTGCTGTCTTCCTCCTGATGTGGCTATATAACAACTTTGGGTCAGATTTGGCTTTCGGTGCTATAACATTCTCAAATCGCCGTTGAGCCTCTCTTCTTGCCTTTTCTGACTTTTCAGCCCAGCTTTTTGTTTTCCTGAGTACTTTGCTTTCCATATTTTTCTCAGTGCTCTAGAACATTTAGCTTTAGCCTCTTTACACCTCTGGGTAACCATGGGCTCACTCTGTTCTCATTGTTTTTCTTGTTCCTGTTTACTAATTTTTCCTCTGCCTTCCTGCACTTCCCACCCACATATTCCATCATCTCATTCACTGTCTTTCCATCTAGTTCTCTGTCTCACTGTAACTTACACAGCAACTTCATGTCTGTGTAGTCCCTCTTTTGAAGTTTGGCTTCTAACATTCTTCCTGTGCTGCTTCTCTTTCCACTGTAATTTCCACAAGGTATTCCAAACCCAGGACCAGAGATATAAACTTTAGTAAACCAGATGAAAATCACATCCAGCCTGAAAAAGCAGCCATGCTAAATAATTTCTTCTCTACTATAGGATCAAAACTAGCTACAAATATTGAAGTCCTGCTTTGGGAAGACGAATCCATATTCTAGGAGAATAACTTAGGTTAGGTTAGGTAATGTTTGTCAGGAAACAGGACAAGTGTTTCCTGACGCGGGTCTTAGTCAGATGACCCGCCTTTGGAGCTTTGGTCATCTGACCGAAGCCTTCCTCTGGCTTACCGGTCCACCCCTATAATAATAATGGTCATTTATAACCAATTAGTATATTTTTTAGGAGAATAACTTAAAAGCGCAATGAATTTTAACACGTGCTTTGCTAAGCTACTTAGTAACTTACTTTATGTAATTTACTTAGGTAACTAGAAGGTTTTTATTCAGGTTCAGTACGCAAGTTCTGAGTTTTAGAATTGTCTAAAAATATAATTAGTAAGTTTATTTAGGCACAAGTACACATGAGTACAGTTATTATACATAGTGTAAATTACCTAGGATAACCCCAAACAATCAGACTAATTGACTTCTAAATTTACTTAGGATAAGGCAGTGATGTCAGTGTAACAAATACTTTACTGAGGTACATTCTTTACTTAATAACATTTCTTAAATACTTGAATCACCTTTGTATATTGACTCTGAAGCCCATGATGTGACCAAAAAAAAAAAATGGACAAAAACAACCTGGGTGAATAGTAGTATTGTGTAGAGGAAGGAACGAAGTCGAGGTTCAGGCAGTGTTGTGGCCGAGCTGGGAGTGTGTGCACGTTGCTCTTATCTCTCTCATCTCTAACAATTCTCCCACTACCGTCATGCCAGCATATCAAGGTGAGCCGCCTCTTGATAGTGACCCCTTCAGGGCAGGTACCTTGATGCCGGCGAGGGGGCTCTTGATCTGAGAAATTGGTCCTGTCCTCCCGTTCCTTGGATTGGATCTGATTGCTCATTCACCAGGCGCTGTTTGACCTCTACAGGTTTAGTGCTTCCCAGTTATTATATTAATAATAAACATGATGGCTAAGTGGGGATGCACGCTTCACACTTGTTAAAATTTAAGAAAGCCGAGTAAATTATGAAGGACTGAGCGTAACGTCATTTGAACATGTCTGTCTGGTTCTTTTCTAATCAAACTGTCAAACTAATTCACTAAGTTCAGGAAAAGGACACGTGAGCAAGCACATCAAACATTTTAATGGATTTTTTCTGACTTGGGACCTTGATCACTAATGATCAGCAGTGATCAAGGTCCCAGGACCGAAACGATTATATTAAAATGTCTTAGACTCGCCTGCCCATTTGCTGAACTTGTGTCATTGTAATGAAAATAAAGGATTAATTTGATGGAGTCCCTTAACTCATCATTATCCTCGCACTGTTTTCTGTTAAAATGTTAGCAGAAAAGACGAAACAACCCATGGTTTACTAAAAGTATTGTTTTTGATGCTTTTATCCATTCATCTTGGTAGCCGAGGTATGACCCATCAAAAATGATAAGGTGAAGCATTTCTTTCAACTGAACCCAGAATATCAATAACCTTAATTTTTAAAGGGGTGGAGGGGTAAGCCAGGGCAAGGCCTCGGTCAGATGATGAAAAGCTCCGGTGGCGGGTCATGTAACATAAGACCCATGACTGGAAACTATTGTCCTGAACACACCTGAATTCAATTCAATTCAATTCAAATCAAAGTTTATTCTCTATAAGGATTACAATGCGGGGTTTACAGATTTTGGTTATTGTGTGGTTTACATGTAGTAAAGTACTAATTACAGATGGGGCCAGGCACGGCTAGGCACTTCGGGCAAACTTAGATTAATTCTTAACCCTAAATTATAACAAATTGTGGAGTAAGTTGACTAAATAATAAGTGACTAAATACTAAGTGACAAATACTAGTTTGTGAGTTTAGCAATGTGAATGCTTTTGTTTTGGCACAATACATAGTTTCTGTATTGGAGTATCACAGGCAAACTTATGACTAGTTAGGAATCATTATTTTAAGATTAGGATACGTATTTCTGTGCTTATAGTCAAATGGGTGGGTGAGTGAGTGAGTGTAAGTGTGAACACAGACATGTGGGGGTGGATGAAGCCAATGTTTGAGGGGGCCTTGTTTCTGAAAAAGAAATCCATTTATTAATTGTTAATACAATCAAAGAGATGTAGGTGTTAGTCATTTGGTCCATTTATTCTGGAAAGACCTAATTAGCCATAAATCTTGATAAGACATATTTAGGGAGTGATGAAACTCTGGCAGTGTGAAGATACTTACTCTGATTACCTGTATGCATGTTGAAAACTTACAAATAATAGATAGGTGGTGGCAAACTTCACAGCAAGAAAGGTTTTAGTATTGTGAATATATAAATTACTATGCCTTTTGTGAAAGGAAAGATGTATTTTTAATGTGTCTTTGTAGGACTCAAATGTATGCTTTATACCTGTAAAATCTGTGTAATTTGAACATCCTTATTCTGTTTCCTTACAGTGAAAGTAAAATGGGGGAAGGAATTGTATCCCGATATTGAACTGGATACTGGTGAACCTCCTATGGTGTTCAGGGCTCAGTTGTTTGCCTTGACAGGGGTTCAGCCACAGCGCCAAAAGATTATGCTCAAGGGTGCTACGATCAGGGAAGACTCTTGGGATGGACTCAAGATTAAGAATGTAAGTAGTGCACAGTATTTAAAATACTGTAGTTGAATTCTGTCTGTTGATAAATTGTAGACTTCCATACAATAATGCACTTCTAAGGTTACATAAGTGTTAAGGAGGCATTCAGAGATGGCTAAGTCTCTGTATGTAATGTTTACCTGGAGTTTGTCTGGAGAGAGTTCGGGGGTCAACACCCCTGCGACCCGGTCTGTGACCAGGCCTCATGGTGGATCAGAGCCTGATCAACCAGGCTGTTACTGCTGGCTGCACACAATCCAACATACGAGCCACAGCCTGGCTGGTCAGGTACCGACTTTAGGTGCTTGTCCAGTGCCTGCTTGAAGACAGCCAGGGGTCTATTGGTAATCCCCCTTATGTATGCTGGGAGGCAGTTGAACAGTCTCGGGGCCCCTGATACTTATTGTATTGTCTCTTAACGTGCTAGTGACACCCCTGCTTTTCATTGGGGGGATGTTGCATTGTCTGCCGAGTCTTTTGCTTTCGTTGCGAGTGATTTTCCAGGTGTATATAATCATGTATCTCTCCTGCCTGCGTTCCAGGGAGTACAGGTTGAGGAACTTCAAGGTCTCCCAATAATTGAGGTGTTTTATCTCCGTTATGCGCGCCATGAAGGTTCTCTGTACATCTTCTAGGTCAGCAATTTCACCTGCCTTGAAAGCTGCTGTTAGTGTGCAGCAATATTCCAGCCTAGATAGAACAAGCAATCTGAAGTGTTATCATGGGCTTGGCATCCCTAGTTTTGAAGGTTCTCATTATCCATCCTGTCATTTTCTAGCAGATGCGATTGATACAATGTTATGGTCCTTGAAGATGAGATCCTCGGACATGATCACTCCCAGGTCTTTGATGTTGGTTTTTCACTCTATTTTGTGGCCGAAATTTGTTTTATACTCTGATGAGGTTTTAATTTCCTAATGTTTACCATATTGGAGTAATTGAAATTTCTCATAGTTGAACTTCATATTGTTTTCTGCAGCCCATTGAAAGATTTGGTTGATGTCCACCTGGAGCCTTGCAGTGTCTGCAATGGAAGACACTTTCATACATATTTGGGTGTCATCTGCAAAGGAAGACACGGTGCTGTGGCTGACATCCTTGTCTGTGTCAGATATGAGGATGAGAAACAAGATGGGAGTGAGTACTGTGCCTTGTGGAACAGAGCTTTTCACCATAGCCACCTCAGACTTTACTCTGTTGACTACTACACTTTGTGTTCTGTTTGTGAGGAAATTATAGATCCATATACCAACTTTTCCTGTTATTCCTTTAGCACGTACCAATGTACCAATACCTTTCAAAAAGAAACTGCTTGCCCTTGACAGGTTTGTCAAGGACAGCCAAGTCTCAATTTGAGACAGTCTCATCCCCAAACCATTGGTTTAGGTTCCTCAGAGGCATTAGGTAGGTCATTGATATAGATGGGAAAGAATTCTCTACAATAGGTACACTAAGTTACCAAAATTTAAAAGCAAAATTCTTGAAAAGTGATGAAAATGAATTTTCCTAATGCCATACGACAACACTTTAAATAAAATAAAATACTATATTTAAATTTCCTTCCTAAAGTTTGTAAATAGAATAGAATACTTTGACAGTATCTACCTCATCCTGCTTAACCTAGGAAAACTTTTTATAATATGCGGAAAGGGCCATTGACTATCTCAGCCACCACCTCAAATGACACTTCAGCTAGTTTCACAACTACCGCTTCAACTACATCCACTGCCAGTTATACAGTCATCACCTTGGCTAGTTCCACAGCAAGAATCTCAACCACCACAGTGAGTTCCATAGCCAGTTCCTCAGTCACCACCTCACCACCAACTTCAAATTCTTCATCATTGGCTGATTCTACTGAGGAATCATCCTGCTGGCTTCTTATTCAGCTCTTTTCAGCACACATCATACCCATATACTCAGCATTAAATGTAAGTTAAGTAGGAGAAGAATTTTTTGTATTAACCCAGAAGGCTAGTAAGCCAGAATAACCCAAGAAAGCCATTCAGTATGGCTTATTTTTTGTTAAGGTTCTTCAATTCTGTTCCATAACCCACAACAGTCAGCTAACACCTAGGTACATGTTTTTACTGTCAGGTGAACATGGGTAACAGGTATAAGGAAACATTCTCAGTATCTCTTCCCATCCTAGACTAGAACTCAAATCCTTCATCGTGAGCTGAAGCCACTTATATTGCCAAGAAAAATATAGCATATGTATTGTATGGGCTCTTATCTAATACAAAAATATAAATTATGTAGACAAATTTTAGTGGAATTAGGGGTTTTGAATTCACTGAGGCCTCTATAAATGCATCCTAAGCAGATTTGGAGGGTGTACTGTGTACAGTGTATACTATATCAAAATGGACCTGTGTATACAGCTTTTCCTCACTTAGCGACGTACATACTCGTTTACCAATGCCTCGGACTTATGACAGGCACTCTAACCAGTATTTATACCTAAATGTATTTTAGAGCTGATTTTCTCTATTCCGTTTATTACAATATACAGTACACTACTGTATAGGCATTTAAAAATATACTAAAAATGTTATAAATGGTGCAAGGGTGACATTACAGCAGTATCAAAGATGGTTGATATAAACCCACTACCCTTATAGTATGTTACTTGTTTAGCGATGAATTTGTTTAGCAATATGGTATTAAGAACGGAACTTCATCATTAAGTGAGGAGAGGCTGTATACAGTACACTACTGTATAAATATTTAAAAATATACCAGAAATGTTATAAAATGGTGCAAAGGTGACATTAAAACAGTATCAAAGATGGTTGACACAAACCCAGTACCATTATAGTATGCTCCTCACTTAGCAATGAATTCATTTAGCGATGTGGTCTTAGGAATGGAACTTGTCGTTAAAATGAGGAGAGGCTGTATGTATATATATATTGCATTGATGTAGTTAGTCTTTACTTTATGCATATTTCTCAACTTTGTTTATCTTTCTAGGGAGTGACTATTTTAATGATGGGGAGCAAAGAAGAGGATGTTCCTGTTGAACCAACAGAGAAGACTGCCTTTATTGAGGATTTGTCGGAAGCAGAACGAAATACTATGGTGAGTAATTCACGTAATTTTTTTCATTTCATTGTTCTGCAATTGAAACAAGTGTTCTCACTCTTTGAACATTATCATATTCCATTTGCTTTCTATAATTTTTCAGTGCTGCAGACATTTTGAATTCTTATGGAAATAACTTTCTATCTCATCCCATGTTAAATTTTTTCAAAAAGTTATGTAAATTTGAAGCAGTATGTTTTTGTAGGAATACATACACAAAAACATTCTTAATAAGTCATATCATGGTCTTTCACATAAAAATGCTGTTGAAAATGGCTGTTATTCAAATTTCAAACCTATTCTTCCTCATGTTCATGCTAACTTGATATGTACCTCTCTTAAACTTTTCACTTTATCATTCCACGTTCCTTTTATTACACTTTTCACAACATTTCCATTTTATGCCATAGACAATCTTCACAAACACCTATTTATGTCTTTTCAATCTGTTATTGCACTCCCTTGCCTCAGAATATATGGTATATAAAAAGCTTGTATTAACTTTTATGATTATTTGTTCATCAGCATTATCATTAGAGTTTGTTTACTTGTTTGCTCCTAATGTTATTGTTCATTTTACAGTTGCAGTTACCTGTGGGAATTAAAAATCTCGGCAACACTTGTTATCTCAATGCTGTTATACAGTGCCTCAAAACAGTTCCAGAACTTCATACTACAGTTAAAGAGTTCAAACCTAAGCGTAAGTTAATCATTAGTCTTTTTATGAATGTAGAGTTTTTAGGTTGTCACATAATAGTGCTTAAAGCAAATGTTGAAGAAATTAAGTGATGTTTTCTTGCTTCTGTATTTCAACAGTATCCAGCTGCTTGATTAAGTCATTATTGAATACTGCACCTTTAATAGTGTTGATGACAGCACATCCCCATTATGGTTTTTGTATGTAATAAGATCTTTTAAAAATGAAAAATAGTAAAATCGAAATAATTTTGCAGGGCCTGGTGGAGCTGCAGACTCTTCTGCTTCATCTTCTCTCTTAACTTTAGTGGAGGTGGAGTCAGGGTCTTTACTTACTCTTGCTATACAAGATTGTTACCGCACCATGGATAGTGGCAAGACTGCAGTGCCTCTTGTTCTTGTTAATCTTTTCCGCTCAACTTTTCCTAGGTAAGCAATTTAGTGTCTTCTTTCCATTTGATTTGTAGTAACTAAGGTTAATGTAATTTAAAAAATGCAGGATTTGTAGCAATAAGATAATAAATTCCAAAGTAGTTTAAGACCACTGGCAGATCTAGTTAAGCGTTGAAATTTGGTTTTTGCACCTTTATGTATATTTGCAAGACTAGTTAGTCTGCTTCATGAATTCACCCCTTGAGGAAAACTTAAAATTTATTGTGTTCTTTTATTTCTTAGCATTTTGGTAAGAAAAAAATCATTGTTTAGATAAAGTGGTTATAGCCTCAAGTTAGGTAAATATTCCCAACAAAAACTTTTATAAAAGGAATTTCACTCCTACCTGAGTAATTTTATCATCCTTTTTCCTATAATAATTTCTTTAACACAGGTTGGTTTCCAGTAATTGCTGCACACGTTTATTTAGTTAGGAATGTAGTACATGTAGCCAAAAAATAGTGCTTTGTGTTGGGAACTATTCATTTTTTTATTTACATACCTTTGTATGCATTTATGACAAAACTATAGTAGTTCTATTTCCTTTTAGTAAATGAAATGGAGTACATTATATGTATGCATTTAATATTAACCCGTAAACGGTCCAGGCAGATCTACGTTCACATGTGTAGTGCTCCAAAAGTAGATCTACATTTTTTTTACACATTTTCAAATGTAAAAAAAAAAAAATCTACTTTTTTTACATACTTTCAAATGTTGAAAAAACGTATACTACATGTATATATGTTTGGACCGTTTACGGGTTAATGCTTAATTATATTTCAGATTTGCTGAACAAGGGGAACAAGGGATGTACATGCAGCAAGATGCATCTGAATGCTGGACGGAGTTGATGCGCCTCTTGATGCAAGAAGTGCCAGCAAAAGATTCGTCAAAAACTCACAAAAGTTTTTCGTATGTATAAAGTGGTTATAGTATTAAGACTTCCAGTAGGTGTGAATAATAGGTGTGACTGGTTTTCTGGGTTCTTTTATCCCTGCAGTTTGACCTGTCTTCTTGTTGACCATGTGATCATCCAGGCTGTTTGTGCTATCTGCCCACAGGGGCCCACATATCCATCATAACCTGGCTGATCCAGCAGGAAGCTGTCAAGCTTCTCCTTGAAAATTTATATCTTGTACTGAGCTTAGTTCTGCACATTTGTAATAATTCATGAACATATATTGAATATGCATCAGAGGACGAAGTTCTTTGGTGTGTGAAGAAAGCTTCGCTGGCATGCTGGAGTTATAAGGAAATATATTGTGGAGAGGTTTAATGTGAATAATATGTATGCACCTTTCATAGGGTTGAGGAGAAATTTTTTGAGAGTGTTCCAAACATCAGTGATCTTTTCAGATCTTCTCTTATCGACCAGTTCTTCTGTGGAGAACATGTTAGTGAGTGGAAGTGTGGAGAAAGTGAAGAAGAAGAAGTTGTTCACAAAACAGACAAATTTCAACAGCTTATGTGCCATATTAATCAAGATGTTAAGTACCTGCATACAGGGCTTGTGGCTAGAATGCAGGTATGTTTTGACCATGTGATATCCAAAGAAGATGCGTACATTCACTATTACACATTCTCTAGCTGCCAATACGTTTCCAGTGACACAGTTATCTATCTACTGTACTAAAATCTGGCTAACCAGCATCCTGAATTTCTTCATGGATGTTACCTAGTTCATACAAACACCTAAACCCATAAACCATGTCTCTCCACCTTCCCTAATCTAACATGCTCATGTATGCATGCTGAATGTCCCTACCACTTGGAACCTTAACACCCTTTTCCAGCTCTTTTATGACCAAATAATCTCATAGCCCTTCTGTTCCATGACTTATGCTTTTCATACATCATCATCATCTCAGAATAATTCACTTTATTCTCTGCTGCTGGAGTGTGAACAAGGTATCATTTATGATGGGATTCAGGGAGCTGGTTAGCTGGACTTAAGTCTTGGAGGTGGTAAGTACAGTGCTTACACCTTGAGGAAAGGATCGGAATGATAAATTTCAGTGGATCATTTGAATTGTGATGTATGCACAGTTTTGGAAAGACAGCTATTGAATGAATGATGCTGAATGTTTCCTCTTTTGAGTCATTCTACCTTGGTGTGAAATGGCTGATGTGATAAAAAATTATCTGCATGGCATTTATACCACATACTGATGTGAAAAAAAGATATCACTTGGCTAGTTTTTTGTTGCTGTAACTTTGAAGGACCATGCCATACAGAAGTGTTAGCACTATAATGCTCTGATACATTTCCCTTTTTTGTGTCCATTGATCAACATTGTTATATCCAACAGTGGTGTTGCTAGCAAACCATACCACGAGCAGGGATAGAACTCGCAATCTGAGTCTCAAAACTCCAGACCGTCTGGAGTTTTGAGACACTCTGATCGCGGGTTCTATACCCGCCCGTGGTATGGTTTGTTTGCAATCGTGTCATTACGATTTCGTGAGTTAGTGGTGTTGCTAGGGTTGGTGTCACCCGGGGCGGCATCTTTGGTGTCACCTGCATAAAATCTAAGGAATAGGGGGTGGGAGTATACTCCAATTACATCACTACTGCGAGCCCAGTGACTAATGTTTAGCAATGAGAACATTTAAGGGCCATAAACTGAACATGAGAATACTTCTTGACTTTATTAATGATAAAATAATTGTAGTTATATTGAGGAAACTTAGTCAAATATTAGAGAAACACTATTTCCAAGCTGACCTTGAGTACAGGTAACATCTCAATGAATCAGATCTTATGTTTCCTTGCTTTCAATCCTGCAAAATCATTTATCACATCATCAAAATCAATGCTGTCAACTGACCTATTTTCTATGGATAACATTGCTAAGTCAGGAATTCTGACTTAGCAAGAATCCACAGAAACACACATAGTAAGGAACACCCTCAGGCAGTGTGAGAGAGTTGGAAGAGATTCAATGAAATCCCATTCAACTATGAATGTTAGTGCATCCAATGCAGTCCATTGCTTAACTTTTTCAAGATCAACATCAACAGCTTGCAGGTGCCTCCTTAGTTTTGGTATTTCAAGCATGAGCTCATTCTTTCATATTTCATTATAGAAGACTGTGAGTCTTGAAGCCATCACTTCTAATTCTTCAGTAGCTGCCACATCCTTGATTGCTTTTGATCGCATTTCGAGTTCATGATGAAAACAATGCAGTCCAACCGCCCTCGTTTTCTTCCTGCAGAGTGAATCTTGAATCTCTTGCCTGCTCCCCTGCCATCCTTTTCTTTAACCTGATTCTTCTCTCTGTTGGAAATCCATACTCCTCGCATTTCAAAAGTGCCTGTTGTATTGAATTCTCCACTATTGATCTCGCCCTTCATTCAGAAATAATCAGTGCCTCTATCTTCACCACCACTTTGTCAAGAATTAAATACTTAGTCTGCAAGTACTGCTGTACAAGCTGAACCTCCCAAAGTATGTCACACCAGAAATACAGATAACACAAAAATGTGAAATCGCACGCAGCGGGGAGAAGACCTTGCGCTGCTCCTCTTGTATCCAAATTTTCCTGTGGATCGCAGAGAGCTTCAATCGCTGCCACAAATTTCTCGAATGATTCTGCTACTGGTTTCACTGCACTGTAATGAGAATTCCATTTTGTTGTTGATAATCTTTTCAAAGAGACTGCAGTATGGTCCATTAAGGCAAAGAATGTGTACGCTGATTCAAGACTGCCAAAAAATTTCACACATGATGAATTCTCAGCAAAAGAATGCTGACAACACAAGTTCAATGAATGGTCCACACAACCACTGAAAATTACCTTCTTGTTCTTTTCCTTGAGAATGGCTTGTACACCTCCATGGACCCCAGCCATGGTGGCAGTATTGTCATATCCTTAAGCACGGTACAGCGTGAAGTCCAGTCCATCACTTTCCAGCTTTTTCAGGATATCAGAACTGATATCAGCAGCTTTTTTTTTTTACCCTTCAGAGGAAAAAAACAAGAAAAACTACCTTCACTCGAACTCTTCCAGCCTCCATTTGCACTATGGTGTCATCCCTTGATGGTGTCATCTTAGGATGCCACTGATATCCAAAGACATCTTAATGCCTTAGCTACTTTCTTTCCTCCTTCCATTCTGTAATTTCCCTCAGTCATGCATCAACTTGTCTTGTCAGTACATACATTCCAACTGTTTTTTTTTTTTTTTCAACATGTCGGTTGTCTTCCACCAAGGCAGGGTGACCCAAAAAGAAAGAAAATCCCCAAAAAGAAAATACTTTCATCATCATTCAACACTTTCACCTCACTCATACATAATCACTCTTTGCAGAGGTGCTCAGATACGACAGTTTAAAAGTCAACCTCCAAACTGCCAATATCCCAACTCCCTCGTTTAGAGTGAGGGCATTGTACTTCCCATTTCCAGGACTCGAGTCCGGCTAACTGGTTTCCCTGAATCACTTCACAAAATATTACCCTGCTCACACTCCAACAGTTCGTCAGGTCCCAAAAACCGTTTCTCCATTCACTCCTATCAAACATGCTTACACATGCTTGCTGGAAGTCCAAGCCCCTTGCCCACAAAACCTCCTTTACCCTGGCCCTCCAACCTTTTCAAGTACGACCCCCTACCCTGCCTTCCTCTCCGTAATTACAGATTTATACGCTCTCCAAGTCATTCTACTTTGATCCATTCTCTCTAAATGACCAAACCACCTCAACAACCCCCTCTTCAACCCTCTGACAAATACTTTCAGTAACCCCACACTTCCCCTAATTTTCACACTCCAAATTCTCTGCATAACATTTACACCACACATTGACCTTAGACAAGACATTTCCACTGCCTCCAGCTGCCTCCTTGCTGCAGCATTTGCAACCCAAGCTTCACACCCATATAAGAGTGTTGGTACCACTATACTTTTGTACATTCCCTTCTTTGTCTCCATGGATAACGTTTTTTTGTCTCCGCAGAGACCTCAATGCACCACTCGCCTTTTTTCTTCATCAGTTCTATGGTTAACCTCATCCTTCATAAACTCATCCGCTGACAAGTCAACTCTGAAATATCTGAAAACATTCACTTCTTCCATACTCCCTCTCTCCAATGTGATATCCAATTTTTCTTTATCAAAATCGTTTGATACCCTCATCACCTTACTCTTATCTATGTTAACTTTCAACCTTTACACACCCTCCCAAACTGATCCACTAACCTTTGCAACTTTTCTTTAGAATCTCCCATAAACACAGTATCAGCAAAAAGTGACTGTCAACTCCCATTTTGTACTTGATTCCCCATAATTTAATCCCACCCCTCTCCCCAACACCCTAGCATTTACTTCCTTTACATCCCCATCTATAAATATATTAAACAACCATGGTGACATTATACATCCCTGTCTAAGATCTACTTTTACTGGGAAGTAATCTCCTCTCTCCTACACACCCTAATCTGAGCCTCACTATCCTCATAATAACTCTTTACAGCAAAAATATCTAAATAAATTCACTTAATACTTCTTCCCTACAATCTGACATCCAGGTTGGAGGGAGGGGGTAAAGGTGTTGTGGGCGAGGGGTTTGGACTTCCAGCAAGCATGCGTGAGCGTGTTAGATAGGAGTGAATGGAGACAAATGGTATTTGGGACCTGACGATTTGTTAGTGTGAGCAGGGTAATATTTAGTGAAGGGGTTCAGGGAAACTGGTTATTTTATATAACCGGTCTTGAGTCCTGGAAATGGGAAGTGCAATGCCTGCACTCTAAAGAAGGGGTTTGAGATATTGACAGTTTGGAGAGATATACAGTGGACCCTCGACCAAAGATGGCATCGATTAACGATAAATCCGACTAGCGATACATTTAACGCAAAATTTTTGCCTCCACTAGCGCTAAAAAACTCAACCAACACTATTTGTTCCGTCAGACGCGTCCACTTCTGGCCAGTGTTTACAAGCAAGCCAGCCACTGCAGTCGCTTCCAAGCATACAATCGGAACATTTCATGTTATCACAGCCTTTTTAGTGATTGCACCTGCAAAATAAGTCACCATGGGCCCCAAGAAATCTTCTAGTGCCAACCCTACAGCAAAAAGGGTGAGAATTACTATGGATATGAAGAAAGAGATCATTGCTAGGTATGAAAGTGGAGTGCGTGTCCCCGAGCTGGCCAGGTTGTACACAAAACCCCAATCAACCATCGCTACTATTGTGGCCAAGAAAACGGCAATCAAGGAAGCTGTTCTTGCCAAAGGTGCAACTATGTTTTCGAAACTGAGATCGCAAGTACTCGAAGATGTTGAGAAACTGTTATTGGTGTGGATAAACGAAAAACAGATTGCAGGAGATAGCATCTCTCAAGCGATCATATGTGAAAAGGCTAGGAAGTTGCATGATGATTTAATGAAAAAAAATGCCAGCAACTAGTGGTGATGTGAGTGAATTTAAGGCCAGCAAAGGTTGGTTTGAGAGATTTAAAGGGAAGGGAAGTAACCCTGGAAAAGGACTTGCCACCTCAAGTCCTAATGGAAGGGGATTCCCCTTCTAAACACTAAGACCATCAACACTCCCCTCCTCCCATCCCAACAATCATCACCAGATCTTCAATAAAGGTAAGTGTCATGTAACTGTGCATGTCTTCTTCAGTTTGTGTGTATTAAAATTAATATTTCATGTGGTAAAAACAATTTTTTTTTTCATACTTTGGGGTGTCCTACACGGATTAATTTGATTTCCATTATTTCTTATGGGAAAAATTAACTTGACTAACGATAATTTTGACTAACGATGAGCTCTCAGGAACGGATTAATAGCGTTAGTCGAGGGTCCACTGTATTGTGTATTTTTATACGTATATACTTATAAACTGTTGTATTCTGGGCACCTCTGCAAAAACAGTGATTATGTGTGAGTGAGGTGAAAGTGTTGAATGATGAAAGTATTTTCTTTTTGGGGATTTTCTTTCTCTTTGGGTCACCCTGCCTCGGTGGGAGACGGCCGACTTGTTGAAAAAAAAAAAATGCTGATAAGTGGTAAATAGACAGTAAAGCAGTCATTTTTGGTACAATGTTTCACTCTTTTGAAGTAAATAATAAAGTACATGAGGAAGGAAACTCATGGGTGAAATGTAGCAATAAAGACTTCACTACATTAAATGTCTACTGTATTTACCAGGTTTTCTCTTATACACCATCCCAGGCTCCTCCATTAACCTATTGCAACATCTCGTATTGTATTGGTACCTGCAACAAATGCTGCTTCGAACACTTAAATAAAGATTTTTTTTTTATAATTGATCCAACCATATCCCATTTCATTACATTCACTTCATAATTTTATTAAGTCACCATTGATTCACTAAAAAAATTGTTGAATTGTACAGATAATAACTTATCAAACAGAATGTTTATTGTACAAACTCCAAAAGTTGTTTAATTGTAAAATTTTTCAAAATATGTATGTTTTTGTAATATTATTTCTGTGTAAAATTGAATTGAAGCCCTGTATTCTCACTGTTATTAATTTTTGTTACCAGGAACAAATCACTAAAAGATCAGAACTTTTAGATCGTGATGCAGTATACACCAAAAAATCTAAAATATCCAGATTACCAGCCTACTTAGCAGTCCAGATGATCAGGTATGGTGTTTAAATCAGTTTGCTGTATATCTAGGGTATCTTCAGTGATATTATTTAATTTAATTTTTTTTTTTTAAATTATTGTGAATTGCCAGCCATAAGTCACCCACAATCATAAGTGGCATACTTTACTTTCACTCCAATTTTTTTTTATCTGTGTTATCTGTGGATGTGTTAAGATTGGATAAAACCAGTCCTGATAAATGTTCCTTAGCTCCAATGTGCTGTGCCTGGCCTCCTCCAGCAGTTTTTCACAGATAGCAAGATCTTAGTAATGACATATTGCACAGCATCCTCAATGAAGTATGCAGTGGCTAAAGAAACTTAAGATTAGTCTTCCAAGTCAAGAAATATACAAACCTTTCAACATACCACAAGATATTAGTTGGTGAAAATGCTTGCACTAGGTCTGAGACAATTTATAGCCACTGGCCACTGAAATGCCTGCTGGAAGCAGGCATTTCAGTGGCCAGCTTCATTAATTCAAGTTTCTTCTACATTAAGTCGAATGCTTCTTGCCACCCTCACATGCTTTAGAGGCCATTGTTACTATCAGTGTACAGGATACTTTAATACAGTAACAGAAATCACTGTATTGGACACCAAATGGTGATGGTATGGTATGTTCATGCAGACGATAACAGATAACAGACAAACGGTGGCTGAGTCTCTGGCCCCGCTTCCCAAGAACAATAAAAATGGATGTGAGAATGACGATACCCAGATTGGACAAATTTGAGATAAAGCATTCTTGGTTTACTTTATCAATGGTATGAAGGGATCTGACAGCTGTACAGTACCAGTGGACATGGTCCACTGTATTATTTTTGCTGGACACCACCATGCAATGGACATGTTGAACTTTTGTCCAGCAAGGTTTCTTTTTTGTCACTTACATCTGATATTGAATTTACAGAGGTCCATTATACTGAGGTTTTACTGTATAATTATTTTGTAATTAAGCACTATATAAACTATGTAACTACCTATATGTAGATGTAGGAGCAGAACAGTGTGTGCATTTGTGCAGAATTACTTTATTCAATTAACTATTTTGAGTTTTAAGAGGTGAGCTTTAGCTTTTGGGCCTACTACTTAACATTTGATTGACTAACTTGCTCTGTTGCATTGATGCTTGACACCTGTATGGAATCATCTATTATATCCTTGTTTAGTGTGTACTACACCCCTTCTATATTGCTCTCTGGGAAGAAATTCTTTTTCATAGTTGCTGTGGATACTGTCCTGCCAAGCGAGTGTGCAACAGAAGCCTGTAATTATTTTACATGATGGTAGGATTGCTGGTGTCTTTTTACCTGTCTCATAAACATGCAAGATTTCAGGTACATCTTGCTATTTCTACTTACACTTAGGTCACACTGCACATGCACAGGCAAGTATATATATACACATGCCCCTCTTGGTTTTCTTCTATTTCCTTACTAGTTCTTTTTTTTTTTTTTTTTTTTTTTTTTTCTCCTCCAACAAGTCGGCCGTCTCCCACCGAGGCAGGGTGACCCAAAAAAGAAAGAAAATCCCCAAAAAGAAAATGCTTTCATCATCATTCAAGACTTTCACCACACTCACACATTATCACTGTTTTTGCAGAGATGCCCAGAATACAACAGTTTAGAAGCATATACATATAAAGATACACAACATATCCCTCCAAACTGCCAATATCCCAAACCCCTCCTTTAAAGTGCAGACATTGTACTTCCCATTTCCAGGACTCAAGTCCGACTATATGAAAATAACTGAATCCCTTCACTAAATATTACCCTGCTCACACTCCAACAGATCGTTTATTTCCTCTTATCTCCATGGGAGAGTGGAACAGAATTCTTCCTCTGTGAGCCATGCGTGTCGTAAGAGGCAACTAAAATGCCAGGAGCAAGGGGCTACTAACCCCTTCTCCTATATAAATTACTAAATTTAAAAAGAGAAACTTTTGTTTTTCTTTTTGGGTCACCCTGCCTCAGTGGGATGCGGCTGGTTTGTTGAAAGAAGTTGCTGTGGCTCTGTTGGGTGTGCAATTTTCATTCATGTTCCCTTATTCTTCATCCTTTTCTGGTGTTGTCTGTACTTGTTTACCTTTCTGTGCATATGATTTTGCATCTTATCATACTCCTCTTTTTTTGTATTCTTCCTGTGGGAGGGCAGGAGGAGAATGTTGAGTTCTTGAGGAAAGGAGTACTTGTGGGGTTACATGGAATAAGCTTTTGGGAGGGTAAATGAGCAGGAGCTGATGAAGAGTGTGAATTAGAAAAGGACATTGCTGGGGAAAATACAAAGATAACGTTTGGAGTGGGTGGGAGGTGTTGCCATTAGTGAAGTGTGAGATGGTATATTATATGTGGGTGGTTATAGATGAGCTCTCGTAATAAGATTGCATGACTGAAAGGAGAAAGGTTCTAGCCATAGGGTCTGGGTAGATGAGGAGCCTGGATTTCAGTAGTCCCTTCAAGTTTTTTTCTTTGATCTTGAAACACTATTATTCCATTCTTCTACATTTTATACTGTATATAAGCTTTTTCAACAAGGTTACTCATCGCTTCACTAGTTAAAAAATCCACTTCATTTCACCACAAAGCCTTGACATGCATCATTCTGACATGTAATTGTTGAGTATTAGATGCATTACATTATTATCTAGTTTAGTAGTATCTCTTGGGAAGAATAAAAAATTTAGCATACGCTTTTTTGCCCAAAAATTTTTGACCTGGAATATGAGACTTATTTTATATCATTCCTTCTTAAGGTGGTCCTCTTTTGGAACTGACCAGCAATGTTGAACATGGTTTCCACAGCATGTCATCTGTTGTTAGGGTTAGAATTTTATTCTGACTGTGTCATATCTTGTAGCCTTCTAGTTTTTGTTCCTTGTTTTTTATTTCCTATTTTCATCTTGGCTGACACACATTCATCTTCTATTTATCTTGAAAAAGTGCCTAATGATGTGACTCTTGGGTTTTCTTTAAGATAGTGACTTTATTTTTAGCTGCTATCATGATAATGTTTGTTTAATTACAAATGATTTACTTAATGCTGATGGCAGATTTGTTCTTTATTTACTTCAGTGTTCAGCCCGTGTTTAGCTTTCTTTTTTGTTGGATATTTTCTACACCTTCACTCCTTAGATCCTATTCTTCCTGTATCCTATAAAAGTTGTTGAATTTTGCTTAGCTGATTTGTAGGCAACTCTTCAGGCCTTCCCTCATCTCTTGCATATTTGTATATTTTTCATGTCTCTTATTTCACACACCCTCACCATGGCTGTGAAATAATGCCATGGTTAGTTTCTGCTAGCATTTGCCATCCATTTTTGGATTTTGCCCTCCAGCTTCTTTTCTGGTCTGTGTAGATTGCAAGTCAGTACCCAAGAATAGCTACTCTAGCCTGCTGTTTTCAATGGACCTGATAAGTCTCAGTCTTCTGATATTATGTATAGAGTAATTACTTATTTATAATGTATTCTTATGCTAAATGGCCACAAATATAAATTTATTATTAAATATTTTCCAGATTCTTTTATAAAGAGAAAGAAGCTGTAAATGCCAAAATTCTTAAAGATGTCAAATTTCCAATTATTTTGGATGTATTTGACTTGTGTACTCCAGAACTGCAGAAGAAACTAACACCTATTAGAGAAAAATATAAGGTAAGTCATGTTTCTATTATCATTGTCTCTTATGTGAAAGGAAACCTCATCGGTTTGTTAGTCTTTTTATCCCATTGTTAATAAGATGATAAACTGGTATACTGTGATCATGTGCTTGCATGCTGAAGGATAGGTGAGAACATTTCAATGACCAACCCTATTGCATTGTAGTGTCTGTGTTCTGGCGAGACAGGTATTTAATGAATGAGGATGAATGTGTTTCTCTCTTTGGATCAAACTATCTTTGTGAGAAACAGCCAGTGTAGTAAAAAATAGTTTTATAGATTTTAGTAGTGTCATTGCAAATTGTAAGATGCATAATACAGTAGTACCTCAGGATACGAACAGCTCAGCACTCAAACAGTTATACGTATAAGTGTATTTATGTAAGTGCTTTTGTAAGTGTATTTTTGGGGGCCTGAAACGGATTAATCTATGAGAACAAATTCGTTCAGTATCGGCACTCGAACAGCCTTCTGGAATGAATTAATTTCGTATCCTGAGGTACCATTGTATATGCTAATCTATCACCCATTACATTAGTTGTAACATCTGCCTTCAGCTCTGGTTTTTAAGTGCACCGTTTCTTTTTGTGAGCTTGCAGGATCTCGTTAAGAGACATAATGGTACTTTGAAAGCAGATGCTGAGGTTTTATATCTTAGTTGTGCTTTTGCTCAACTTTATTTTGCTTCTAGTCATAGTTCTAAATAGGCTTGGGAACAGTTGAATTTTGCTTAGTAACTGATGCATTAATTTTCTTTGTAATTTTTGTGAAGTTGAATTTCATAAATTAGATAAAACATAATGGAACAAGTTTTTCTTTGTTTTAAGGATATGGATGAACGTCAGATAGAAGAAGAAAGAGCCCTAAAGAGGGGTAAACCTCTGGCTCCGGAAGATAAACCACGTACTCGTGCTCTTCCCTTTTCTTTTGAAGATGGTAAGTCTTTTTGTCTTACCTTGTTTCATAGCCTAGTTTAACATTTGTATAAATTTTAGATTTGTGCTAAATCATAAAGCATAATGGAAGTGTAAGTTATTGTAGAAGTTAGAGAAATGGAGGTTTACAAACACTTGTTACCAAAGATTAACCCTTTGACTGTTTCGGCCGTATATATATGTCTTACAAACCAATGTTTTTGAAATATTAATATGTGCAAATTCTAGCGGCTTCAAATCAAGCGGGAGAGCGCTGGTAGGCCCACATGTGAGAGAATGGGTCTCCATGGTCAATGTGCAGAGTATAAAAGAAATTGGAGAGCCAGTGGTGGATTGTGGGAATGCCATTTCAGTAGTCCTTGTTCATCATGCCTAGCGGTAAGAAATATCTGATTCCCCGGTGAATTTGAGACTCTTCTCTTCCCCAGTAATAACTCTAACACAGGTGGAAGTGTCTCTGATGCTGAAGTTCCTGGTTTTGAGGAGTTTGTGACTAAAAGCAATGCCCAGGATACCTAATGGAAGGAAGGAAGGAAGGAAGGAAGAAAGAAAGAAAGAAAGTAAGGAAGGAAGAAAGGAAGAAATGACAGGAAGGAAGGTGGGGATGAAGGCATGGGTCCCCATGGGTGTTGATAGGCAGTAAAGGTAGTGAGAGATGATATAATTTGTCATTTTGATAGCAACCACACCCTGACTCAGCACATTTAGAAGTCCACACACACACACACACACACACACACACACCACACACACCTCACACACACACACACACACACACACACACACATTTACACACACATTCACATTCAACACACACACACACACACACACACACCATTCACACACACACCACACACACATTCACACAAACACACACACACACACACACATTCACACACACACAACACACACACACACAACACACACACCACACACACACACACACACACACACATATACCCACACATATACACACACACACATATACACCACACACATAATACACACACACACATAATACACACACACACATATACACACACACACATATACACACACACATATATACACACACACACATATACAACACACACATATACACACACACACATATACACACACACATATAACACACACACACATATACACACACATATACACACACACACATATACACACACACATACACACACACACATATACACATACACACACATACACACACATACACACACACATACACACACACATACACACATACACACACATACACACACACATACACACACACATACACACACATGCACACACACACACAGGAACAGCACTTGTACTGTAGTAAACACGCAAACACACACATACACCAGGATTTCACCAGTCCTGTGAACTGACCATCTGAACCTCGTCCCCTCTCCTCACTCCCTCTATACCTATCTCACTCTCTACCTAATCTCTCTCTCTACCTATCTCTCTCTCTTCCCTCTCCTGTCTCTCCCCTCTAACATCTCTCCCCTCCCATTTTTATCCCTCTCCCCTTTTTCCCCAACTCTCCCCTCCTCCCCTCTCTCCCCCCCTACCCTTCTCCCCCCTAGCCTCTCTCTCCCCTCTTGCCCTTCCATCTCCCCCTCTTTTTCCCCTCTTTCCCCCCCTCTCCCCCTCTCCCCCTCTTTTCCTTCTCTCTCCCCTCCTCTCTTGCCTCTCTCCCCTCTCACTCTTCCATCTCCCCCCTCTTTCCCCTTCTCCTCCCCTTCCTCCCTCTCTCTTTGCCCCTCTTTGCCTTCTCTCTCTCCCCCTCTCTCCCCTCTTCCCCCCTTTTCCCTCTTCCCTCTCCCTCTCTCCCTCTCTCCCTCTCTCCCCTCTCTCCCTCTCTCTCTCCCCCCTCTCTCCTCTCCTCTCTCTCCTCTCCTCTCTCTCCTCCCTCTCCCCTCTCCTTCTCCCCCTCTCTCTCTCTTCTCATCTCTCTTCCCCCATTCTCTCTCTTCTCCTCCCTCCCCCCTCTCTCCCCACTCCTCCCCCCTCTCCTCTCACTCACTCTCACTCTCTTTCCCCTTTTTCCTTCTCACTATCCCCCTCCTCTCTTCTACTTCCCTTCTCTCTCTCTCTCTCTCTCTCTCTCTCCATCTCTTCCCCTTTTTTCCCTTCTCCTCCCCCCCCCACCTTCCCTTCCCTTCCTCTCTTTTCCCCCTCACACTCTCCCCTTTCCCCTTCCCCCTTTTCCCCTCTTTTTCTCTCACCAAAAAAAAAAAAAAAAATGGTGGGGACCCGGGAACCAAGGGGATCAATGAAAAATGGTTCGGTAGGGGGAGTGGGGAGGACATTTAAAAAAGGATGGAACAAGAGGGGGAGAAAAAATTTGGGAGGTTTTCTAAAAAAATGGAGAAAGAGCCTCTGAAATTTTGAAAAAGGGGTTTGGAGAAGGAGACAAAGAATTGGGAGGCACAAGTCAAAAAATGAGTACCAAGAAAGGGTCCTAAAAATTTTAGAAAAATAGTGAAGCGTTTTTACGGGGGCAGTGACCAAGAAAACACATATAAAGCTGCGGGGGCCGAACAGAAGGAAGGAATTATGAATTTGCTAAGGTCATATAAACCCTGCCAAAAAGAGAAAAGGAGGGGAAAGGGAAAACAGCGGGTTTTGCGACGGGAGGTGACAGGCCGAATGTGAGGAAACAACCATGCTATCAAAGCCCGGGAAAAATAAAGGGAAAAACTGACCACAAAAGGGCAGGATCCAGAGTCACAGGGGTGAGGCAATGGGGAGGGGGAAAGGGAAAAATCGTGTTTACCCAAAGGGCTTCGGAAGAAGGAAAGGACCACACTGAAAGGCAGCAGGAAGAAAGAAAGGAATTGAGAAAATCATCAGGGAAATAGGTGAAAGAGGGGAAGAAATTTAAATTTTCAGAAAATAGGGGGGGTACTCAAGGGGAGAAACCGACCAATCAAGCTGATTCTCAGGACGGAAACAGTGGGGGAACGGATCCTCCAAGAAAACCCCACTTTGAAAACTGGGGAAGAGTACAAAAGGGTTTTCCCCTAACAGAGACAGAAAAAATCAGAACGACAGCAGCTGAGGAGGGGAAAAAAAAAGGAGCTAGGAAAAGAACAAGGGGGAAACCCAGAAAGGGGTCACAAGCAGAACAGAACAGAAAGGGCAAGCACACGCACAACTATTCTCAACCATACAACCACACCCCATCCAACACACACTACAACCCATACCCACAGCCCCCCCCAACACCGACATAGAACCCACAGTATCCACCAGGTCTCCCACCCCCAGGCCCCACAAACCACAGTTTTGGAAAAAGGAAACTAAAGTATGGTAACAAAAATGATGGTTAACAAAAAAGTGGGAGGAGGGGATGAAAGAGTCAAGGCATCCCCGGGACATCATACTCTCACAGAAACCAAGCTTAAGCATGATAACAGAGCCATCTTTTCCAATGGTTTACCAAAATTTCGAGGAAAGACGGGGAACGGGGGGGGTGGAGGAGTGGCATTGTGACAAAAATCGCTGGAATTTTGATGAGCTGGAGAGAGGAGACAGGGGAGAAAAAATGTTACAAAGGGGGAACGCTTCACTCTGGAGGTCCCAAGGTGTAATAGCAGTAGTACAGTGGCCCCCCGCTTAACGATCACCCCCAAATGCGAAAAATTATGTAAGTGTATTTATGTAAGTTTTTGTACGTTATTTTTGGGGGGGTCTAAAAGGGACTAATTATTTCAAAATATTCCTTATGGGAAAAAAATTTCGGTCTACGGGCACCAAACATACTCGGGGAATGAAAAAAGTTCGTTAACCGGGGTCCACGTAAAACCCCACCAAAAAACAGCAGGGGCCAAGGCAAGGTACGACGAAGAAAATAGAGCGATTTTTGACACAGGCAGAGGGGCCAAAGAGCTCATCATGCAGGGAAAAAGCTCCTGATCAAGGGTAAATTTAACCAAAAAGGAGATCGATTGGGAGAATTTGGACCCACATGGGGGCCAAGTCATGGAGGGCTAGATGATGGAGGGGGTACTGGAAAACTTTTGTGCCAACAGTAAGGGGCACTACAAAGAGAGAAGAGGGAAAAAACAGGCTGGACTTATTATTCACCTTGAGAGTGCAGATATCGAGGACATCACTATGAAAGACCCTTTTGGGCCCGGACCATGTGGTTTTAAGCTTCGAAACACAGTAGGGCACAAGGGGGGGGGAAAACGGGAAGGGCCCGGACGAATGAACCCAAAATACAAGAAAAAACTACACAGGAATGAGGAACTTCCTAACGGGGGTTTAGGGGGGGACGGAACTGGCAGGGGAAACCCGTTAATAGATGATGGAATATGTACAACAAAAAGCAAGGAGGCGGGAAGGTTTTTTACCCCAAAAGGGGAAAAGGGAAAAATGAAAAGCCAGGATGACCCAGTTTACCCAAAGGTGCAGGGGGCAAAAAAAACCCGTGTGCTGGGAATGGAAGAAATATAGAAGGCAAAGGGCCCAAGAATAAGGGGGCAGTGTAGAGCCAGAAACGAATAGCACAGATAAAAGGGAGGCCCAAAGACAATATGAAAACACATAGCAGCGAAAACCAAATCTGACCCGAAAAAATGTTGACAGCCCTAGAGGAAAACAACAGTCAAGACCAGGGAATCAGGCAAGGAAGGAAAGGAGGAAGACAACAAGAAAGACGTGAAGTTGTGAGGAACTCAACAAGAGATTCAAAAAGTGTTCACAAGGAGACAAAGGGGCTCCAGAAAGACGGAGAGGTGGGGTTTCACCACCCTTGCTGGACACAGTGCACACAACCGAGGGGAAAGGGAAAGGGTTCTGATGAGCTGATACCTCAAAGGGAATGGGGCCAATAACATTCCCATGGGATTGAGAGGGGGCGAGGCCATGGTACCCCTAAAACAATATTCAATACATCTATCGAAACAGGGGGATGCCTGAGCTGGGAAGACAGCAAATGTATCCCAATTTTAAAAAAAAGGGGACAGACTGAACATTAAACACAGA